CGGCGGCACCGGCCCTGTCGCGGCCTCTGCCCTCCGCGCCGTCCGCCGACGAGGGCAGCGGGGAGGGTGCTGTCCCCACCCCGCCCCGCACGCCCCGCCCGCTATGGTCCAGGATTCTCGAATGAGGCCAGAGTAAGTGGGGTCGGAGGATCGCGCCGCGTCGGCGATGCATTGGCCCGATGCGGCGCCATTTTCTGACCCCATTCGGAAGGCCTCCGTCTTTGCAGCCGGGGGTACCAGACCTCCTTGCGTCGTTTTCGTTGATTCTCGTCGGGGCTCTAGGTTGTCGCTCTTTTCTGTGTGAGAGGTTCGATGTTTCCGGGCCTGCTTTCGGAGGCTCCCGGCGGTCTCCCAGACGTAAAATCCGTTCCAGCAGATGCTCCTCTCCAAGGGTGTCCCAGGGGTGTCCAGATCGACCCAAGAGGCCGCTGGAGGCCCGAGCTATGTCCCGAGAACCCCTTCGCGACTTCGCGCCGTGGACTACTTTCGCTTTGGGGGCCTTTGCAGGGCCCCAGGAGGCCGTCAAGAAACGAGCCAGGAAATGTAAGAAGCCCGTCATAATAATCAAGCAGTGGCGAAGCGTCCCGTTGTGCCTATAGCCATACCAAAGAATGCTCTAAGAACCTGTTGTGGTTTCCACGAAATGTTCTTAGAACATTTCTTGCTTGGACTGTCTTGTTTGAACGCATGAGGCTTATGTTATGAGAACAGTTGGGGGTTCTAAGAACATTTCGTGGTAGGACTATAGGAATGCTGGGACGGTCGGTCCCTGCTCAAAAGAAGGCGCTGAGAGGTCCAGGGCCTTGGGTTCGAAGTTGTGACAAGATGACGACGTCGTAGGTCTGGCGAGCAGGATCAGGAACGAGAGAACCACAATCAACTAAGCCAAACGTGTTTGGGGGGCTCCCTCGCCCCGCGTCGTTGAAGGCCTGTTTTCGCTCCTCTTCGGAGGCCAGAGGCATCCCGCAGAAAGCTGCTGTAAGAGTCCCCCAAGAAGCCTGTGTCGTTGAGCCCTTGGTGTCTTCGGGGCGCCAGAGAAACAAAGTAAAACGTGGACCTGGGACGTCCGCGGAGTGCTCCTCCCCCGGCGCTGGACCCCTCGGCCTCGTCACTAGGCGGCGCGCGTGGGGGTGGGTCCCGGCGCCGGCGGAGAGACTATCCGCAGACGTCCGAGCTGGTTACGCCTGTATGTTGTCCGCCTCCTCGTGCCCCGTCGCAGGCCTTCGTGGCTCCCTTGCTGCCCTTCGTGGTCCCGTTGCACCCCGTCGTGGCCCCTTCGTTGACCTTCGTGGCCCCGGTGCAGCCCTTCGCGGCCCCGTCGCTGCCCTTCGTGGCCCCATATGTGTATGCCGTGGCCCCCGCTCGTTCGCGCCCGTCGTGGCCCCGTATGCATGCGCTTCGTGGCCCCGCTGTCGCCCTTCGTGGCCCCATCGCTGCCCTTCGTGGCCCTGTTGCTGCCCTCAGTGGCCCCGTTCTTGCCCTCTGCGGCCCAATATACGCTTGCCCTTCGTGGCCCCCCACTCGTTCGCGCCCGTCGTGGCCACATATGCATGCCCTTCGTGGCACCGCTGTCGCCCATTGTGGCCCCCTCGCTGCCCTACGTGGCCCTGTTGCTACCCTCAGTGGCCCCGTCGTTGCCCTCTGTGGCCCCGCATTATCTGCCCCTCGTGGCCCCCGCTCGTTCGCGCCCTTCGTGGCCCCGTACGCATGCCCTTGGTGGCCCCGTTGTCGCCCTTCGTGGCCCCCTTCCTGCCCTTCGTGGCCCCGCTGTCGCTCTCGCTTTTGCTCGTCGTCGTCGTCGCCGTCGTCGCCATCGTCATCGTCGTCGTCGTCGTGATCGGTCCCCTGTCCGTCCCTCTTGGGGTCGGGCTGCCGACGATCAGCGCTGCCGCTGGCCAGGCCGACGGTCCGCGGCTGCCCCGCCGCTTGCCGGGGCCCGGTCTGCCGGGAAGAAAGATGTATTTCCAAAAGGGGTACGATCGAAGACGAAGAGGGCGGGTATCGAGGTTTTGGAAATATGCGTTGAATGGCAGTCAAGCAGATAAGATCGAACATACTTAACATGGTTGTTGTAACTCGGGGCCAGGGTGTTAGTTCGACCCACAAGATTTCCCCCGATGCGCCAGAGGGGTTACAGCATTCTTGATTTCTCATAAGTGTAAGTTCAACCAGAAAGAACACATGTTTGTTTTGTTCGGGGCATGCTTGGGAGGCTCAGTGGGTATCCCGTGCCGTTTGTGACGGCCTTAGGACATTGTGCAAGTTTGTTGCAGGCCATCTTGAGAGACGGTTGATAAATCTGCGCGTTTTTTTCTGCAGGCTATCTTCGGTTATCTTGGGACCCATGGCAGTTGTAACTCCTTTCGGGGAAGGGGTTGTGCAGAACCTCGGGATGCCGAAGGGTGGGGGGGTATCAAATTCCACCACGAGGGAAGATTATTGTCTTGGGAAAGCTGATCGAGCTGATTCCTAAACCATCCATGCCAGGGGGCTTGGTTAGAATTGACTGTCTGAGTCTGGGGGGGGAGCGTTTGAGGCCCTCGGCACGGTGAGCTTTCCATTGCGATCAAAAAATGCAAGTCCTGGGAATGGATACGGAAATTCAGGGGCCCGAGTCGTCGAGAAAAACACGACGTCCGCAATCGGGGTCTTCAGGGTAGAGCTTTTGGGTGCAGCATCATTCAGCACGGGCCTCCGTTTTTGTTGATGTTGGGTATGTTTCGAGACTTGCCACGGGCTCCAGAGCCCACATGTAACAGCCCGCAGCGCCAAATCCACAGGAGCACTGGGAGCGATGACGTCAGAGATCTCAGGGAGCAGCCAGGGCTTGCGCGTTGTCTTGGCGATCGCGCGCATTGTCGCCCTCTTGCCCCTTTTTGCCCCCTCGAGATTCAAGAGCCGCCCGCGTGGCCACAAGGTTTCTGGGACACCGGCACAGGAAGGCCACGGGCCCACGATCGCACAGTTAGATTGTCGTGACAGCCGCCTCCCCCTGCATCGCCTCTGATGCGCATCGCATCGTGCCTGCAAGGAGGGCGAGGAGAGGTTTGTCACGGCAGGGTCGCCAGGAAGGAGACAGGTTTTTAGGGTCTTGAGGGAAACGGTTCTGTGGGTTCTCCAAGTTCGGGGCTCCCCAGTGCCCTCCACGGGCTATGGGAGCGTCGAGCAACTATTCGGGATGACGAACTTGTCCTGGGAGAAGGCCCTGGGTCCAGGACCCGCTTCCCTCAGGACACGTCTCTTTCATGCTGCAGGGGGAGGGCGGGGTAGTTGCACCCTCCTGGCTTCCCAGATCACAGTGTTTAGGAATTCAGCGCGCCACTCTCGGTTGCCATTGCGGCCATCCAGCATGTTGGGGGAGGGCGGGCGCGGCCTCCGAGCGGCGTGATGGGCCCTCACGTGCGAGGGACGTTGCCTGCTCTGTGCGCAGCCGTGCTGCGCGAGCACGCTCTGCGGAGCAGACCCACCAGTCGTTAGTCCCTCCTCCGCCCCTGCAGACGTACCTGCCTTGGACCTCGTCAGCGCTCACCCTCGTATGCTCTCGGCGCCGCCGCCGTCGTCATCCTCATCCTCGGGGCCTCTGAGAGGGAGGGAGGGGGACAGAAACGGATGCTTACGCAATCGAATGCAGATCCATCTCGTCGCAGACCTCTTGAGGGCACCTGCGATGACCGCGCCCAAGATGAGTCCAGTGGGGGCCTCGCTCGATGAGAACCACCAGTGCGGGCTGCGAGGCACGGAGGCCGATGAACCTCAAGACGTGTGCCGGCCACGTGTCTTTCTATATTGTTCGGCTCTACCCATGGCATGCAGCCTGTGTTCTCCCTTTTTACACCGCCTGGGTCATACTGAAGGGCTTCGGTGGGAAAACGTACTCTTGTGCTGGCATCCTTCAGCGCTTGCCTCACGCGTGGCGGGCTCGACGGGGCCGCGGGTAACGGGTCGCCGAGAGGGGCCGCGGCCCGTACAGCGGCCGAGCCAAAGGCCTAGAGACGGCCCACACACACGAGGCCCACGCAGGGCCGCGGGCTGCCAGGGGCCCCTGGCTATCGGTGCCTGACCCAATCGTACAGAGCAACCCCGCACACGAGGTCTGATGGGTGAGTCACCCGCCACGGGAAAGCACGGCCACAACCGATTCATTTGTCCGACAGCGGCCCGCCTTCGAACCAAAGGTCTGAGTCGTATCGCAGCGTCCCGGGTTGAGAAGGAATGGTAGTTCGGCGACGGAAGACAATCTTGACCCAATCCCTGTACATTATCAGAGCACCTCAGTAGTTCTGGGGTCATCAAGAGTCTGGGAAAGGAAGGGAAGTCTGGGGGGCCGTGTTGTCCAGGGGGGGGTCCTTGTAGTCATGTCTGTTGTCGTGGATCGGGGGCCGCCCAGAGCTTAAGTTCGTGACAATGTCGTTGCTTCCGTCTGTGCTGTGCGGCGCGAGAGGTACAGCATAGCACGGTTTATGTTGCAGCATGCAGTGGACTGTTCGTACAAGTCTTATAAAATAACAGGTGAGCGCCTCATCCAGGAAGTCAATGAATTAGGTCGCGTGGCATTCGTTTCCATTGTGTTGCATCTCATGCTGTTGCATAGTCTAGGTGTCGCGGGAGTGGTGGCAACGCCTTCTCTGCGCGAGAGTTGTGACATCGCCACTTGTTCAAAGCAAGCGTGCGTCCGTGTGGTCATGTGGCCACCAGCGTGTCATCCTTACTATGCCTTTACCTTCACATCCATCTTGACCCAAACACCTCACATCATTTCCCTGTCAGCCCATCGGTTACACGATCGAGATTGTCGCTTCTTGCCGAGGGCACTGACGTTCACGAGCTGTTGGATCTATTCGGAAAGAGGTGGAAATGGCAGAGGACACGAACATGATTTCAAGGGTTATGAGCCCAAACGCTGCCTTGGTTCTACATGGATAAACGCGCATGCGCCAGTGCAGGGCGTGCTACGGCGTGATCGTCGGCCCAATGATCAGGTGCAGCGTGTGCGACGGAGGATGTCCCCAGTGTGCTTCTACTGCTTGAGCGGCACGGACGTAATGGCCGCACTGCGCAACTCGGCATGGACCGGCCACGTCGCAGCCCAGATTAGCCAGTACGCAGCCTGCGGCGGGCAGCTGGCGGGCCAGGTTCTCGTCGCGACGGTCAGCAGTACGGCGCAATGAACGCGGCGGCTGGTCCAAGAAGCCGCCGCCGCGGCCGCGCTTCCTGTCATCGCAGCCGTTGGAGAACGACAGCCAGGGCAGCCAGCAGCTGGATGAGCTCAGGCTGGCCAGACGATAGAACGAGATATTTACAAGGAGGACCGAGGAACTCGAGGGGCAGTTCGGGGGCTACGCCACCCCAAGAGGGGCGAGCCTCGACGCGGGCGCGCCGGCCGGCGGGCCGCCCAACTCCCCGACGGATCGGGCAGAGCAGGGCCGTGCTGGTGAGTAGGACGAGGCGGGAGGACAGGATGAGGAATCCCCGTTGCAGGAAGCGTTTGAGGATGCTAATGGGCGCCGGGCGCAGGCTTCGGAGCAAGGAGCGCCGCCGCAGCAGCAGCAGCAGCAGCAGTGGAACCTCCGTGAGGGGGCCCTGCAAGATGGTCGCAGGGTTGGCAGTGGATGCAGGGCTCAGCGCCCCAGGACAACCTGGATGAGAAGGCCCGCCTGGAGTTGAGATCTGCCTGGCGCTTGAGAGTCAGGGATCCAAGGAAACCCATTCAATTATCTTAAGCAGTCCAGCAGTTATCCTCAGCCCATCATCAACGTTGCACGAACAGTCGCCCGCCCACTCGGACACAGCCGCGCAGTTATCATATAAGGACAAGTTCGTGCCTGGCGAAAAGCGGACTGCGCGAGCTCGCTGCCTTCATTTTGAGCACCCATGGTTTTCAGCAGCGTGCCCGATGTCATATCTCGCAGGGCAGGGCAGAGAGCCCGCCCGCGCATCTGCAGCGTCGCCAGCCCCCCAGCAACAAATTAGCAGACCAGCGCACACATGCGTCATCGATCGGGAACTGCCAAGTCGGCGACGCATGATGGGCCACGTTCGCAAGGCCAGGTCTAGTCAGCAGTCTCCACGCGGCTGGGCCCGCGGGAGAACATCCACGGCGCGGCGTCAATTCGCTGCGCGCGCGCTCGGCCCATCGCCCGCGCTCACGCGGTCGCGCTCGCGCGGCCAGCGTTCCCCGGCAGCGTCCGACGGCTCGTCCATTGAGAACGCGCGCGCCCTCGGCCACGCAAGCTGGCTCGATCTCGATGATCGGGAAAGCGCGGCCGCGCTCGCGCGTTCGCGGCCGCTCTGCCTTGCGTGCCCACGCGGTCGCCAAATTGGCCGCGCCAGTGCCGCCAGCGTTGGCCCCGCGCGCTGGCCGCCGCCGCTCGCCTGCGCCGACTCGACGCGTGGATGCGAGGCGCGTCGTTTCACGCGTGCGCCACTGCCCCTCCGCGCGTCGCCGCGTGTGCTCGGCCCCGACTGGCCCGCTGCATCCGTGGGGAAACGTAGATGGAGTCGCTCATGCGCGGTTGCGCCCCATTTCAGAAATCGCAAGCCATCGTCGCGTACTCGACAACGCCCGCGCATCGGCAAGTATTGGGGAGCGCCTGCCACGCGCGAAATGCAACTGGCCGAGCCCCGCGCGCGCCGCGTAGGTCGCTGGCGTTCGGCGGCAACGCTTGCTCGGCCACGTAAATGCCGACGCGTCGTCGCGTTCAATATTGCGCGGTCGCGTCTTTTGGGTGGCTGGCGCCCATGGGTCCTCGCTTATTTGGCGAGCCCTGTCGGCAGCGCCAGACCGAGGGCGCGCGCCCGACAGCTCGCGCCCAATCGCGGCCGTGCGCTCATGCAGGTTATGTCGCGTTATTCGCATGCGCTCGCCCCGCGCGCCATCCGCGCGCGCATTCGCCCGCGCGGGGGGGCCGGCCATCCACGCGCCCGCGCCCAGAAGATCGCGGCGACCCAGCCTCGCTTGACCAGGCGCGCGCAGGTTGGTCACGCCCAGGCGGCGAGGCCCGCTGGCGAAAGAATCGCAAACGCCCCATTGCCGACCAAATCGCCCAAAAAGATTTAGACCGACCGCCGTGTCTGGTCAGACACATATCGCCAGCAGATGTCGTTTCGCCGCGCCTCGGCACACCGGTCGCCCTGAGCCGAACGGGGTCGGCGACGGCGGTCGTTGCCGCGCGTGCGACCGCCCGCCAGGATCGCGGCCATGCGCATGCGCGCGTGGGCCTTGCGGAGACTGCGCCCCGTGGCGCGGGCAGGGGAGCGGACGGAAACCTTGTTCATGTCTATGGCGAGTGGGCGAGGGCTTTCCACGACGAGTGGGCGAGGACTTTTAACGAGATGGAGGAGCTGAACGACTCTTTCCGCCCCGCAGCGCAGGGGCATTTCTACCGCCAAATGCAAAAGTGCCCCTTCATGCAATATACCCCTGCGCCCCACAATCCTTGCAACGATGAGCGCGGCACTGGAATGAAGACGAATGGATGCTTTCGAGGTTCTGTGATTTCATGCGCAAAGAGCGACGGGGGGGGGGCGTTGAATTCTCGCCGCCTTCCCGCCGGGGGCGAGAGAGGCGGGGGGGGCGAAAGTCCCAGCAGGGGCGGGCAACACCTTTATATGAAGGGCGGTCGCCGCAGGAAGTCGGTTCCGCACAGCGAGTTCCTCTGGGCGCATGCCGGCGTTTTCGGGCGCAGCGCCAATGCTTGCGGCCGGAATAAGGCGGCGGCCCTGCCGCTCCAGCACTGGCCGCGCCCGCCCAGGCGGGCAAGGGCAGCGGCGGGGGCGGCGGGGGGGGAGAGACATGTACAGAAAGGTAGCGGAAAGGGCAAGGATAAAAAGCGCGGCAGAGGCCAAGAACGCCCCGTTGACCGATCCAAAGATTGCGGCGAGGACCAGGACCGATCGCATAGCCGCGCCTCCAGCATCAGGTCCAAGAAGAACGGCCTCTGCCACGCGTCCAACCGCGGCGCCCGCCCCCGCGTCTTCCGAGAAATGCTTCCGCGAGCGCAGGCAGGCCGCGCGGGGGGAGACGCTCTCTCGCAACAAGTGCGAGACGCGCGTGGGCAAGATAGGCAAAGCCCTCCCTTGCAGACGAAGCAAGGAACAGATGTCTGCCGCAGCGCAGAACATTTGGAAGAGCGCTGCGCCCGAGCGGGGCAGCGACGAGGAGAGGTCGAAGGGGGGCGGCAAGAGCGTGGAAATCGAGAGTGCTGGAGGCGCCTTGCTGGGCAGACCTGCCCATTCGGAGAGGAGCAATGCCCTTGGACATCCGTGGCCTGATCGGCCGGCATTCGGTGGCTATGTCACCGGCGTCGGCCTGGAGGGGGCTGAGGCGGGCCGCCGTTGCCTCCCCTGATGTCGGGAGCACCGCTGTGCGCAGCTCCCGCCGCATTCTGCGCTGGGGCAGGGTGCCAAGCGCCGCCATTATGCAGGATGGCCATCCTCGGACGAGACTCGAGGGGCGGAGAAGATAGAGATAACCGCGCATTTGAACGTGACGATGACAGCCTGGCTGCACCGGCACGCGCCCAGGGTAGGAGCAAGGGCCCCACGCGCGAAGTTGCCGATGTGTCTCCAGGCTGGCGGGGATGCGGCGCTTCCGAAACAGGCTCTCGACTGGCCGCTCCCATTGCCCTGGGCGCGGCGGGCGGCCAGTCTAAAGCCTTCGATCGGCGCGGCTGGGATTCCCGGTGACAAGCTGGATATGGGGGAGATTGAGATGATTGTCATGCTGGAGTCTCTGAGCGTGATTTCAGTGGCGAGCTCTGCGTGGGCCGCGGTTATAGTTCCCACTGGATAATCGTTAGCGCCATGCCTACTGCTGCCGCAGGGATGCAGGCTGGAACTCTCGGTCGAGGCGCCGAACGTTTTTAGAGAGGCCGTTTTGGTCGGGGCGCGGGCGAGATGCTGCCCCCGATCCCACGGGCCGAGCCCGCGCGACCCCGCGCTTGGCGCAGGCCGCGGCGGAGAGGAGGATCGTGGATCGGGGGCCGCCCAGAGTTTAAGTTCGCGACGCCGTGGCTGTTTCTGTTTGCGCTGCACGGTGCGAGAGGCAGAGCATAGCACGGCGTATGTTGCAGCTTGCAGCGGGTCGCCAGCGCAAGTCTTATGGGGTAGCAGGTGAGCGCCTCATCCAGGATTGACTAGGTCGCGTGGCATTCGCTTCCGCTGCGTTGCATTGCACGGCGCTGCGTAATCCAAGTGTCGCGAGAGCGGCGGCGACGCCGCTCCTGCGTGGGGGCGGTGGCATCGCCATTTCTGCACGGCAAGCTTGCGTCCGGAATTGTTTTGGCTCAGTGCCCAAGTCGCGCGGGAAGAATGGCGCGTGCTCGATCGGGCTCGAACCAGCTGGGCCGTCTACTCGCCCGCGTGGCCACCAGCAGCAAGTGCTCGCTATCCCCCCACCTTCATGCGCATCCTTTTTTGACCGAAGCACCTTGCGCCATCTCCCTCCTCGGCCCGTCGGTAACGCGACTGATATTGTCTCTTCTTACCGAGGGCACCGACGCGCGCGAGTTGCCGGATACATTTGGAGAGAGGCGAAGTTGGCAGAGCCAACGTACTTTCAAAGTCCGCGGGGGGGGGGCCCGCAGTCAGGCGGGGGGGGGGGGCCTGGAGTCAGGGGGGGCTTCTGGTAATTATTTTTTTGGGGGGGATATCGTGCTCCTGGGCGGGCCGGGCCCGCGGGGGGAGCGGCCCCGCCCCCGCGCGCGGGCGCGCGCCGCGCGACTGCGGCGCCATGCGCGCGGAGTCCTGCTCGCGCGAGCGAGAATTTCTGAGCGCCCGTGCCGGGCGGGCAGTCCTGGCGGGCCCCCTGTAGTCCAAGGGGGCGGGGCCTGCAGCCCCGATGGGGGGGGCTTTTTGTCGAGGGGGGGGGCTTGTAGTCCGGGGGGGGGTTCTTGTAGTCTGGCGGGGTCCCTTGTAGTACGAGGGCCAAGAACTGTTGGGATACTAAGTAACCATGACATCGCTTCCCCGCCGCGGGTCGCGGGGGGGGGCGGGGCGGGGGGGCCCGCTAAGAGAGGCGGAGATTGCGTCGCAGGGCGCCGCGTTAAATCGTAGTCGCGCAGCCCGTGGCGGGCCGCCGAACACTCGCGCAACCTATATGACGCACGCAGCGGCATGCAAATCCTGAGCGCGCGGGCGTCTCGCCCCCCCCCCCACCCCCCGCGGGCAACGGCGGCGCGCGAGTTGATCGTTGCCGCGCCGCCCTCGCGTTGCCGCGGAGATTTTTGCTTTCCCTGCTCGACGCCCGCAGGCTCTGAATCCCCCGAGCCACAGGGGTTTTGAGTCCCGCCTGCAACGCGCGCCTACCATCTGCCAACATATAGTCCCGCTCGCGCCGGCGATCCAAGAGCCACAAGTGCGCTTGCCGCGCGGCGGTGCAGCCCGTGCTCCAGCGCACGGCGCGCGCCCAGGCCAGCCCGGCCATCGGCGCAGCGCATGGCGAGCGCTGTTTGTGGCTTGTTTCTGCCATCATGTGCGGTTCCGCGTGCCAAGCGAGGGGCTGCTGATGGCCCGGCGCGGCGCGGCTGGTTTCCTGGCCGCTCAGCGCCCCGCCGCCATCTGCAGCCGGCGCGCCATGGTGATTCGGCCCCCAATGCGGAACATCAAGCTGCGAGGGGGCACCATGCGGCTTCCGCTAGCGCGCGCCGAATGGCGAGGAGGCGCGCAGCGCGCGCCTCGCGGCGCCGGCTCGCGTCGCTGCCCGTGGGCACAGCGCCGTTGGCGTGTGTTGAGGCCGCGCAATTGCGACGCGCAGCGCGGGCGGCGCGGTCCGCCGCCGGGGCGAAGCGCGCGGGCAGTTTCGGACCGCGCGACCAGCGCAGAGTCCGCGCGCGCGAACGTCTATTAAGCGGCAAGTCGCCCGAGGAGGTGGTAGCGCATGGCGAATGGCTTCCTCGTTGTCACCGCATTGCGCTGCAGTCGCTTTCCCGCGTGACAAGGTGAGCGGGCTCTGTGGGAGCCCCGCCGGCGGCGAATCGGAGCCCGACGCGCCAGCCGTGGGCGGCGGCGTGCGAGGCCGCGTCAAGCTCGCACACTACGCGCCGCCTGCTGTCCTGCGCTGCGTGAGGTGGCATGCCTGCGGCGCGTGGCCGCGCCTGGCGGTCGCCTTCATTGGGCGCGGCGCGCCCGCCACGCGCGGGGCGCGCGCCTTGTCGCTTGCGGCGCGGCGCAAAGCGGCGGGCGCGACGCGCGCGGCCCACCCAGCGACGCGGCGCCCGCGGCCGGGAGCGCGTCTGCAAAGGCCGATGGCCCTCTTGTTATCCCGCCGCTTTGTCGGCCGCGATGCCTGCGGCGTGGGGCTGCCATTGGCGACGCGTGAATCGCGCGGCGTCGCGGGGCGAGGCGGCGCGCGACCCTGGCGACGCGCGCCAGGCGCGCGGCGCAGCGGGCGCGGAGGCAACGCGCTCGTCGTTTTTGTTCGCGTTTTGTCGCGCCGCTGGCTGGGGCAGGATAGCCAGTAACTACCAGCCGCTCGCCGCGGTCAGATCGGCGCGTCGCCTTCGGCGGGGGCGGGGTATCAAGTGCCATCTGCTCGCCGCGGCCAGGCGCGGCGCGCCGCGCGCGTCGGCCGCCCTCGGGGCGCCGTCGCGCGCGCGCCGCCCGTCCACTCCCGCGCGTGTCCGCCGACGGTGTTTCGCGCCTCTCGGGCCCGGTGCGCCCGCTAGGCGCGGCGCGCGCGCCTGGTGCCTGCGGGCCGCGCGCGGCGCGCCCATATTCGAACGCGCGTCTTTGCGGCTCGTTGCTTCTCTCGTTCTCCCGTCGTTTTGTCCGCAACGACGCCTCGCGCTGGCCATTTGGTCGTCGGGCGCGATCGACGCGCAGGTGCTCGCGGCCGCATGGTGGCGCTGTCGAAATGTTGGGCCTTGCATTCCCCCATGCATTGACACTCGAGCCCGAAATCCGTTCGAGTCACGCGTGCGCCTCTTCGCTAGCGTCCCGGCTCAGCATCCTGACAGGTGCAGAATCGCCCCGTTGGGATCCCAGCGGATGCGTGCTCGGCGTCGCCGTGGTGCCATATCATGGTTGTTTGCAGTTGTGCGGTTCATCGGGCGTGATACTTCGTAGGTAGCCATGCCAACAAGACTCCAACAATGATCAAACCTCGTCTGTGGTTGCAACAGTTTCCTTCTGGCTACATACGACATAGCTTTTAATGGAGAGGCATCGTGCTTTGTTTCACATGTGTCGGCGTGGGATCCTGACCAATTCCCTGATTCCAGGAGGAAGGCCATCATGTTGTGCAAAGTGTAATCGTAGTGATCGCCATGCACTTACCCCTACGTACTGGTTATACCGTCTCACGCGCACATAGGCGTTGCATGTCATTACCATGGCGCGTGGGACCATGATTCTTCAGTTTGCATCGCTCTGCAGTGTGGCATGCTACAGTGTATAATTCCGTTCGTCGTTTTCCATCGCCTCTCCCGCGACCGCACCACGTGCACCGATTCGATTTCCGAACGTATTCGCGTCGAGGTGTCATGTGTTTATTGTGTGTTTACAGATCATTGGCCTTACGCGCGTTTGGGACGATTCTTGTGTGTGTGGCTGTGTGTATGCGTGTGTGTGTGTGTGTGTGCGTGTGTGTGTGTGTGTGTGTGTGTGTGTGTGTGAGTGTGTGTTTTCGTTTCCCTGTGCCACCTTAGCGTTGCTTCTTCTCCTCCCAGCACGTTGCGCTAGACAACAATACGCCAGTCAATGCTGCGCCATATCCAGGTGTACAACTATCTCAGATTATCCGGGGGACCATGCGGGATATCATACATACGGCAGTACCTACTGAAAACCATCGGAAAAGGGTAAACTGGAGACAGCACGGGGGACCACGCAGACCAAGGGTCACGGGTTCGGAATGTTGCAGTGCACGCGTTGGTTTGAGAAGATGTTCAGAATCTGGCAGGGAAGTTACCCAACATGTTTCAGTCCGTTCCAAATTCAGGAGACCTTCGCATGACCCTTTTCAACAGCCGCCCAGGACCCTTTTCATGACCCTCTCAGGCCACTCTCAATAGCCTTTTCAAAAACTTCTCAGGCCCCTGTATAGGAGCCGCCTGAGCCTTTGCAGGACCCTCTCAGGACCTTCCAACTGCCATCCCAGGACCCTCGCAGTAGCCTGTCACTAGCCCCAAGGTCCTCTCAGGACTCCTGAGTCCTAGGCCCTGTCAGGAACTTTTCAGGGTCTTTTCGGAACCCTCCCAAGACCCTCTCATGACGCTCTCAGCATTATGCTATGTGTTAGGGTGCGTTGCTGCAGTCTCTTGACAAGGTGGAGCGTGTTTCAGGAGGGGCGGGATGAAGTGCACGGTCGATCGTTTGAAGATGCCATTGTATGGCATGTGGAATTCGCCATCTCAGAGCAGATGCGATGGCAGGCGGTTCGCGGCTCGAGGAACACGGTTTGTTCAGGTGCGCACGAGGCAGGGCTTGCTCGTGCGTCCATTTCTTGCCTCCCCTTGGGTACGGGGCCCGGTATGCAAGTCCACCTGGCCCGGGTGCCACATGGGAGCGCAATAAGCACGGGAGGAGGCGAGGTGAATGGGCGTTGCTCCCGTCTTTCTGCCTTCCCTGCGTCCCCTCCTCTCGGGGGTCATTCCGATTTGGTCACTCGGATTCGCCTTCGCGTTCGCCAGGCTCGATCCGTTTCAATCTATACCTATACGACCACCCTTCGGGTGATAAGGAGTTTCGGGGGGGAGGAACCAGCGTCTCACTCGATCGGTCTCATTATCGATCTCACTATCGATCTCACTATCGGTCTCGCTCGATCGATCTCACTCGATCGATCTCACAATCGATCTCACTCGACCTATTTCATTCGATCGATCTCACAATCGATCTGACTATCGATCTCACAATCGACCTCACGATCGACCTCACTATCGATCTCACAATCGATCTCACATTCGGTATCACTATCGATCTCATTATCGATATCACAATCGGTCTGACAATCAACGTCATCATCATCATCATCATCATCATCATCATCATCATCAACATCATCATCAACATGATCGTCATCGACGTCATCAACATCATCATCATCATCGGGACATCATCATCACCTGATCACTATCATCATCAACATCATCACAATCATCATTATCATCATCATGGGGACACCATCATCGTCACCATCATCATCAACATCATCATCATCGGGACATCATCATCATCATCGGGACACCATCATCACCATCCTCATCAGATCATCAGCATCATGCTGAACATCATCATCATCATCATCATCATCATCATCATCATCATCATCATCATCATCGGGACACCATCATCATCAGCAGCAACATCAGCATCATCAGCATCATCACCAGCATCGGGACACCATCATCATCGTCACCATCAGCATCACCATCATCATCATCGTCATCATCACCATCATCATCATCAACATCAGCATCATCATCATCACCAGCATCGGGCCACCATCATCAAAATCAGCATCATCACCTCATCATCATCCTCATCATCCAAATCATCATCATCATCATCGGGACAACATCATCATCATCAGCATCATCAGCATCGGGACACCATCATCACCATTCATCACCATCATCATCAACATCATCATGAACCTCATCATCATCATCGGGACAGCATCATCAACATCATCATCATCTCATCATCATAAACCTCATCAGGATCATCTTCATCGGGGCACCAGCATCACCATCATCAACATCATCATTTTCAACATCATCAACATCGGGACACCATCATCATCACCACCATCATCATCATCAACATCGTCAGCATCATCATCATCATCATCAGCATCATCATCATAATTATCATCATCGGGACACCATCATCATCACCACCATCATCATCATCAACAACATTTCATTGACATCATCATCATCATCATCATCATCATCATCATCATCATCATCATCATCATCATTATCATCATTATCATCAGGACACCGACGGGACTCCGGCGGGACACCGGCGGGACACCGCGGGCCACCGGACCCCGGAAGGGAGTCATTTGGTCCGGCCGCGCCTCAGCCAGAGGCGGGACACCGGCGGGACACCGCGGGCCACCGGCCCCCAGAAGGGAGTCATTTGGTCCGGCCGCGCCTCAGCCAGAGGAGACTTTCTTCTCGCCCGCCCACGCAGCTTTGCCTCGCCCGCACGCACGGCACGCACGAACACGAAACCGAAACCGATTTCCTGGTAGGGGGGCTCTCCGTTCCACTTCGATCTCACCCCCTCACCTCCGATTCTGCAGTGGTCCGATGGCACAGTGATCGCATGGCGCAGTTGTGCATTCTGACGCAGCCGGTCGGATTTGACTACGATTCCGTGCCGATGCAGTCCGATCCGACGCACATCCCGACTCGATCCGATGTCCCGAGTCGACGGGTGATCTTTCATGAGTTTCTTGCATCTTCCAGAAGAGAACCCTTGTGCGGCCAAACGTCAGTGGTGGACAACCTACCGATACCGCTACCCGTCCCCAGAGAGGTCGGCGGAGTAGCGGTATAGTTATCTATTGTTCTTTGATGCATTCCTTTGATGGCGAGCCGCGCACCCCCAGCGAGGCATCGAAGGGGACATGTCTCCGACCACAGCGTGCGCCAGGACCTGGACCTTGAGGGCCTCTCTCTGAATTGTACGCCTTCCCCTAGGGGCACGCTCGGTATCCACCGAGGTTTGGTATTGCCCCGCCCGAGTTTCCGGCGGCCCAGCCGAGACTTCGACCACGTTGCAGTAGGAGTGTCAAATAAGGAATTTGTTTGCTTGCAATTGCCCGACGGAGGTTTCCCATCCTCTGAATGACAATGGAAGCCTGCACACCCCCTGAGGCACCGCAGGAAGCTCAACAGCGACGCAAATGTGCCTCCAGACTTCTGTAGCCTACTGGACTGGGGTCGAAAGCTTCGACACGCCAGCCTCGCCGACTCCCCTCCAGATTTTGCGCGGGCGGGCCCCCGCGCGAACGCGTCTAGACCAGGCTTCCTGTGAGCGGCATTCCCTGCTGCAAGAAGGGCTCCTGGTTTCCTTAAACCTGGGCGTGGAGAAGAGATCATGCCCATTTCAGTACGATTCGATCTCGATTCCCGCCGGCCCGATCCGATCCGATTCGCATGTTCCGACGACCCGATGCGGCCCGATGCTTGCTGGACGCTGTTTTGCCTCTTTGGCGCTGCCGATATGCTTCGATTTCGATGCCGTTCCTGTGAAGCCCGATCCGACGCACATTGCAATTCGATCAGAGTTCCCGATTCCATGATGACTGATCCTCCAAGTGTCGGGCCCCTCACAGACCTAGAGATAATCCTTGAAGATTGGGTCTAACTTGCGCTCCGGACATGATGGCTCACCACGTTGCGATTTGTTCGCAATGTCGGGTTTCCAGGACTACGGGGTCACACAGGTTTGGCGCTCTTTTTCGCGCCGGTTTTTACAGGCCCGGATTTCAAGGTGAATCAGGAGCATGAAGGTGCTAGGCAGAGGGTCGTAGCGGGCCGGAATCAGCCCTTTTATTTCTCTCTTGTGGACCGCTTCCTACCTCTAGAATGCTTCTGGGGTTCGGGTTGCGGCTACGTTGTTTCGCGAGCGACCCCTGCCTCGGACGCAGTTGTTTCCTCAAAGAGCGTGGCGCTGAAGGCAGCGTAGCCTGAGCTTCTGAAAAGGACGCGTGCTTCTGACTGCAATGTCTCCCCTTCCACTGTCTCTCAATGGGTCATGGGAGGAGGTCTTACGGAATCACGGAACTCGGAGATGTGATCTTTATGCTAAGCGCGGAGTCAATTGTGCGTGTGGTTTGAATACTTGTTTGGTTTCCGTTTCAGCAAACGGTGCAGTTTGGTATGCATGTGGTTCGCCTTGAGCGGACAGGGATAATGCGTTTCGCACTGGCTTGCCTTCAACTCGGAGCGATTACCGGACAGACTTTGCAAACATGACAGTTGTGTGGGATCGTGTGGCCCAGGATCGCAAGCACGCATCTCGTCCTGGCCGATCGAAACGAGGCAATCGGGTGGGCTTCCCAGGAATAGCAGTTCTTTCTACCATCTCGCTACCATCTCATAGATCACCCAAGGAAGGGCTACCCTAGGGCTTCCCCTAGGGCCTACCCCTAGGGCTACCCCTAGGGCCTACTCCTAGGGCCTCCCTAGGGTGTCCAGTAGGGCCTACCCCTAGGGCTACCCTAGGGCTACCCTAGGGCTACCCCTAGGGCCTACCCCTAGGGCTACCCTAGGCCTACCCCTAGGGCTACCCTAGGCGACCTTTGCCCAGAGGCCTCGGGAGGCAGGCGGTGTGAGACGTGGTGGGGGCGTGGTGGGAAGTCCCAGCGGAGATGTTCCAGGGTGGGGGTCCCTCAAAACCTATGCCCAGAGGCCTCGGGAGGCTGGCGGTGTCGGACGTGGTGGGGGCGTGGAGGGGGGTCCCGGCGGAGATTTTGCAGGAAGGGGGTCCCTAAATCTCCGACGTAGATTTACGGTAATATCTGCATTGTGATGAAGTGTGCAGTGGAACCCCACACGCCTCGACGGTCGATGGATATATATATATATATATAGAGAGAGAGAGAGAGAGAGAGAGAGAGAGAGAAGGATGGTTAGTTGGTTGCTAAAGGTACGAAGGATGTCGCACACGCCCCTGGGGTCGGCGGATTGTTGAGGAGTGACAAACCTCTGTCCGAAGGGGAAGGGGGGCGGAGTGGAAGAGGACATTTCTTAAACCAGGCACGCCCAGAGGGCTGGTGGGATTTCGACGATCCAGCGATGCGTCCCGATGCTTGCATGGTGCTACTGTGCATCCAAGCGCGGCCCCTCCGAGTCTAGCCAGACCCCGTGCCGATGCGGCCCGATCTCCCCATCCGATGCCTGATTGATCCTGCCCCTGGGCGTCGCAGCGCGCAGCAGCGGGGCGGGGCGTTCGGGAGGGCCCCCGAGCGCCCGCGGGCCCCGAGCCCCGTCCCCCCGGGGGCGACCCAATGGCCGCGCCTTCTGGCGCCGCGTGTCCTGACGCAGACGAGGAGAGCCGGCGCCTCTGCGGCGGCGGTGGCTGTCGATGGGGGCGGCGGTTGCCCGAGGGGGCCTCGGCGGCTGCGGTGTGCCTCGCTTTCGCCCTTTCGCTCTTGTGGGGCCTCTTGGGGTGCCCTCGTCGCCACGGCTGGCTTGGCCCCCAAGGTCATGATCAGAGCGCACCCGGGGAGAGGTCCGGAGAGTGGCGGACCTCTCCCAGGACTCATTTGGTCCCGCTGGGTGTGACCGCCGTTGAGGAGACACCAGTACGCCCCAAGAGATTTCAATCCCCAGCGTAAGAGTTCCTGGAAGATGGACGTGCCAGTGCCCCCATCAGCAAGGTAACACCGCGCAGGCACGGGGATCAGTGGTGGTGGCGACGGCGGATGTGGTGGCGGGATGCGGTAACGGCGGTGGCACGGCTGACATGTACGTCGTAGTGTTGATGTTGGACGTGTTTGCGAAGGTGATGCTAACCCCTTACCTTTGGCGTCGCGAATGGGACACGGCGGCTGCGTTTTCACAGTCAGGGCATCTGATGGCCCGTCTCGGGCCCCGTGGCCAGCAAGAGACGACCGGCGACAAACGGACGGTCTCGGAGATGGTGTCGTTCGCTTCAGGGCCCGCCTCGTTCGGTTGCGAGTAAGAGTGGCCCTTCGTCGGAGGCACGGTGACGCCCTCTGCGATGAGGCACCGCCTCGAGCGAGCGGCGAGCGGGGGTGGCCCCGAGCCGTCGTCGTCGTCGTCGTCGTGGTCGTCGTGGTCGTCATCGTCGTCGTCGTCGTCGATGCCGTCGTCGGCACGACGATGCCACAGACGTCGACAGTGTCCACGACGACGACGTCGACGACGACGATGCCGCCGCCGCCGTCGTCGGCAGGGCCCCACCGCCGAGCCCGCGGGCGAGGGCGTCCGCTGCCTGGCCTTGCTCGAGGCCGTGCGCCTGGCCGCGGCGACTGGCGCTCCCGCCGCCGCCGCGCTGGGCCGGCTGGCCCGCGCGCTGGCGGCCGACAGGCCGCCCGTTTGGTGCTGCCAGAGTCGAAGAAGAGATTGCATGCGGCAGGCTCGTGTTGTGCCGACGCGGCAGCGACCCCCAGCGCAGGCGTTCAAAGTTGAGCGCCCTGAATCGGCCAATAGGGACCGATCTGGCGATCGGAATGTCGCCAATCATATCAACGCTGGGATCGTTGCAACACGAACCTGCTGTGAGCATAAAAAAGTTTGGAGGACACGCTGATCTCTTGGGTCGGCGCTGGACCCCCCCTCCTTGGCGCGCGAAGCGCCCCGTGCCACCAGGGCCTGCGCCAGGAGGGTATGGCGCCGATCCGAGAACTCCAAGCGGAGCTCTGAATGTTTGTGCAGTGTTGTTTTTCATCTACTGAAGTGTCCCTGGCCCAAGGCGTCCACGGTCCAAGGTGTCCCCATGATTTCCAAGGTGGCCCCACATCCTCCAGAGCACCCTCGACGAGGCCCAGAGGGCCCCAGGAACCCAAAGTGGAACAAGAAGCCAGGGACGCCAGGGGTCAGTTGCACCTTGAGCAACCACCGAGCCCAGGGGAGTACAAACTGATGCTACACACAGGCTCGGAGTCGAGGGTCGGGCATCCAGATTTTTTGGATGTTGCAATCGAATCGCTGCGTTTTTCCTGAATTCCTGTGTGTAGGTTGTCTTCGGGCACCAGGACTACCAAAAATGAATCCGGCGTTGCAAACTGACCCTGAGAGGGGTACGGGACCCCTTGGGGCCGCGAATCATCAAATTGTTATGCCTTTCTCGGGCCTCTCGAAGTCTCCAGAGGGCTCTGGTTCCAGCGGCTTCTGGCGACCTCACAGGGTTTGATTTGGAGGCCTCCACTCGAAAACATGGCGCCCAAGGTTTGCAATCGGACATACCTGGCGCTCCGATGTTGCCCGATGCGCTGGCTCCCCATGCCTCTCGACCTCATCCATGCGTGGCCGCTTTTCCGTCCAGAGCTGCCTCGTTGACGGCACCGGGGCCCGAGACCAGGCCCCGCAGGAGAAAGCCGGCCGCCTCGATGCTTTGTTGTCCGAGGCGCCAGATGTCTGGGTCCATTCGGCTCTCGGGCCACAGGTTTGGGCCTCAGGCGGCCGTTCGGGACATTCCCGGCATCCCCGGAACGCCCGCGACGAGGCACAGCCGCTGGACAGCACCCCAGGCCCGTGATAGAAACTCGCGAACAGTTTGCTCGCGGTGCCGGATATCTGAACACGGCAGTACGGTCGTCACCGGTCGCCCCGAGAGGCACACGGCCGTGCTCTGCCGACACCACGGCGCGCTCGCGGCTGTCGCGGGCGCCTGGAGGGCCTGCCCGGATTGGGAGGCCGCCGCGCCCGCGGCGGCTTGCGCGCTACTGCCTTTCGCGGCGGTCCATGGCTGCGCGATCAGGCGCCTCGGCGTCGAGGAGCCTCTGTGCCAGGGGCAACGTCAGGGGGGACAGCCTCAGGGGGGTACGCATCGACCCCGAATCGCCCACTCCTCGCCGCTAGGGGCCGGAAGGCCCTTGAACGCGTGGTCTTCCTTTCGTCACAGATGGGTCACACAAGCACACACACAAGCACACACACACAAACATACACAAACACACACACACACAAACACACACACACACACAAGCACACACACACAGAGCATCACACACACACACACGTGGAATCTGGACGGGCCCAGGTGCTAGTTGGGCCCCATTTTGGGTAACCAGGCTTTTCTTTGCGGCTTTATTCCCGTTCAACCGCTCCGATCGCCTCGATGGTTTCGGGGACGTTCAACGAAGGCCCCAAAGCGGCCCCAAAGCGGCCCCAATCGCTTCAAGAGGCACCCAAGAAGGCCGCGAGAGGCTGTCCTGGAGGCCGCCCAGAAGACAAACATTCACCAAAACCAATCTGGAAATCAATGCTTGTAGCCTTCTCTCGCGCTTTCGCTGCCGGTGGGCTGCTGAGGGTTCAAGATGGGCCCCAAGAGGCACCCACGACGCCCCCAAGAAGCCCCCAGATGCCCCCAAGATGCTCCAACAGACCACTAAGAGCTCCCAGGAAGCTCACAGGAGGCCCCCAAGACGCCACCAAACGCCTTCATAGGCCCCAAGAGGCTCCCACGATCTTTTTCAAAGAAGCCCCCGAGAGGCCTCAGGAGGCCCCAGCAAAACTCCCCGGACGCTCCGAGGCGCACCCCCAGAAGGGCCCCGCGAGCACATATTTTGTTTGGCGACGTTCTCGAGGATTTAACAGTTCTGCCATTGCTGCAATGCTGAGCTTGCCGCGCTCCCAAACGATCTAAACGTGCTCCAAACTGGCCCAAGCGCGCCGTGAAGCAGCCCAACAAGCTCAAAATGGCCCACGAGGCATCCAATACTTCTCTTGTTTCGGCTCCCCAGGCAGACCCCACCTAATCGACCCCGCTCCCGCGCCAATGCGTCACACCCGACCCCCTTCTTCCCTGCTCACGCATACCAGTAGGACCTCGGCCCCAGGCTCACCCCAAGAGAGCTCCCAGTACACTTCGCCTCCCTCCGACCCTATCCAGCTTCGTCTGGCCCATCTGCATCTTGACAGTGCCCGTGACCTTCCCGACCTGCCTCTCCAACCCTTTCCAAAATGTTGTCCCAGAGACCGTCCACGACCTCTGCACTTCGAAGCTTCCCGTGGCCTTCCCATCCCTGCCTCCCCACCCCTCGCCCCAGCTCTACCCCAAATAATGTGACATCCCAAGCCCTTGCCCGAACTCTACGCCAGTGACCTTCTGCGGCATCTGCAGTTCGAAGTTGGCCGTGCACTTCCCATAGCTGTCTCCCCAAGCATACCCGCCACTCAACCCCTAACACCTCGCATGCCCTGAAGTTTACGCTGCCCGTGGCCTCCCCGACCCTGCCTCTCCCCGCTCTCCAACCCATCGGTTTCCACGGCCAACCCATCAACATTGCCAGCGCCCCCATCTGATCGCCCATCACCGTCGCAAACTGCCCCATTTCCTGGGCACCTTGCGCGCGCGCATTTCGAGGTGCCCCACCTTCCTTTGCCCGCAATATTCCCGACCCCAGGCTTGCACATCGTCGATGCCTGGAGCCCACATATTCAAAATTCGATGTCGAACGCTGCGCTGTAATGCATCATTCCAAGACTGTACAGGGGAGCGCAGCGAGCTTCATGTATTGTGTATGACCCCAAGAGATCTTTCAGAGCCCCATTCCGGTTTAAGGATAACGCTTCCGCACCAGGAAGCCCCAGTGAGCAATTAACCCCGCAGCGGAAGGATGTGTCTCTCGCCTTAGCGCCGCGCACATTTGCTGCACACACTTACAAGAACTTCACGAATGGAAGGGGGTTGTGATTATCGCGTTAGCGCCGCGCACATTCGTCTTGGAAATGTTGCAAGAGCTTCACGGGTGGAAGACGGCTCGTTTTCAAGATGTGGTTCTCGCCTCAGCGTTGCGCGCAATTGTTCTCAAAACGCTGCAAGAGATTCACGGATGGAGGGCGGCTCGTTTTCAAAATGTCTGTCTCGCCTCAGCGCCGCGCGCATTGAACAATGTGCAGAACTTTCACGGATGGAGGGCGGTTCGATTTCAAACTGCCTGTCTCGCTTAAGCGCCGCGCTCATTCGTCCTGAAAAATCGGCAAGGGTTTCGCGGATGGAAGGCGGCTCGTTTTCAAAATGTTTGTCTCCGCCCCCGCGCCGCGAACACTCGTTTTGAAAACGTTGCAAGAGTTTTGCGGATTGTAGGCGGCTCGTTTTAAAAATTTGGTATCGCCATAGCGCCGCGCGCATCCGTTTTGAAAACGGGTGGAGGGCGGCTCGTTTGCAAAATGTGGTCGACCGGGGTGGAAAAAGCCACCCTGCACCCACGGCACCGCCGCATCAGCGTCGCCCATCGGAGTGGCTCGGGTCAGCGCGTGGGTTGAGGTGGTGCTGAAGTGGTTCGGCGAGAGACTGGGCCACGCCCTGGGCGCGCTGCTGCATCAGCTGATCACCTTCCTCATAGGCTTGGTCGATGCGATGGGCCACTACCTCTTCGGCGCATTCCTGGCTAAAGTACAGTGGGCGGCCATGGGCCTCGTGGCCATGGTGGTGGCTACGGTGCTCGGGTCAGCGCTGGGTTTCATGGCCTGGTTCACGCGCACGGCGTGGGTGCACACCACGGTCCTCGCTGGGGCGCTGAATGGGTTCGCGGGTGGCAGCAAGACGGGGCACGACGTCATGGTAGGTCTGGGCGGCGACCCCACGGCCGCGCTCGTATGGCATGGGCCCAGCGAGGCGAAGGCGGTGGACGAAGACTACATCAAGAGTGAGGTTCGGGCGCGTGGAGGAGGAGCTAGAAGATGATGCCCAATGACCTCATCGTCAAGTTTGGCGGCTCCGTAGCGAGGCTTGCACAGGGGCCCCTCAGGGGCGGCCGCATCACTCGTCGCGGGTACGTCTATAAGTTCAGGGACGTGACGGGCAGCTCTCACCGCCACTTGAAGACCGACCTGGAAGCTACTAGGGATGACGAGGGCGTCGGCCAGGTCCACCTGTGCGCGGCCTCACCGCGCACCCTCCCCGTGGGCGACCGGCCGATGGTGCACCTCAGCTCGCCGCGCGTGGTGAACCACAGCTCGCGAGTCAACGCGTCAGACCTGGCCAAGCTCACCCCAGCGGAGAGGGCGAGGGCAGGGGATTCATAATGCGTTGTGATTGGGGGTGCCGAGGGGCGGGGCGAGCGCGCTGCAAGACGTTCGGCTGCTGCGCGAAGAGACGCCGGAGGCGTCCGAAGCCCGGGCAGAAGCCAGGCAAGATCGATGAGATGGACCCCAACTCGGAGACCGAGTCGGAGCCCAGCGTCGACGTCTGCCAGGCCGACCAGATCGCGCGCACGACCACGGGGGGCGCGCAGGTCCTGAGCGCCAAGTGCTGTCGGGGCACCGCGCGGCAGGACACCGTCTACATGCTGGTTGAGGATGCGGCGATCTCGGATGTGCGTGAGGCTCCGGAGGAGGGCGTTGCCCGCGCGTTCAGGGCTTGCCCACGGCACGGGGGCATCTACGAGAGTCAGCCTGCCCCCGGGAGACGCGCGCGTTCTCATTGCCACCGCGAGATGCCTGTCGATAAGGGCGGCTTCTCCCTCTGCGCGGCCCACGCTGCAGACCGCGCGGCGCGACGGCGCAGCCGCTCGGGCACGCCGCAGGCCAGCGCCCGCCACGCCGACAGGAGGGGGGCCAAGAGGCCCGACGGTCAGCCCCCCCGCGCTGCGGCCAGGCGGGGCAGCCCGGCAAAGGCAGAGGCAGGTCCAGCCTGGCTGATTCATGCGCAGGCCCCTCTGGCGGACGCTGAGGCCGAGCGGGGCGCGCGCTGCAGCTTCCCCGCGCGCTTCGTCGGCTCCGCTGAGGACAGCGCGGACGACCGCCCGAGGACGCGCGTGGAGGCCGCGGGCTCGGGGCTGACCTTCTCCATCCCGGATGGAGCTCCCCCGGCGCCCAGGGCGGAGCTCCTCGACGAGTTCGCGAGCGCCCGGCCCCCCGCCATCTGCTGGGGGCCGGGGGTGGCGACCAGGCTGTCCGACCACGGGGGTGGCACCGACTGCCGGGTGGACAGCTTGAGCCCCGCGTCAGCTATCGCCCTCAGCAAGGGGCGCAGCAGGCACTACATGGCCAAGCGCACCAAGTCCAGGAGTCGCAGCGCCATTCCTACGAGGAGGGACACGCGGCGCGACTTAGACGCGAAACTCAGGGGAGCGCAGGCGCAGGACGAGGAGCAGAGGACGCGCGACCCACGCGTGGCGCTCATCTCGAGCTACCTCGGCATGCATGCGGAAGGCCGCACGGACGCTTGTGCGAGGCGCGCTATCTCGCACCAGAACGGCGCGGGCAGACGCGAGCTGCTGGCGGAGCTCGTCGAGGCGGCGGACGCGATGCATGACGGCGTCATCGGCGAAGTCAGCCTCAATCTCGCGCGCGGATGTCCGGCGACATGGAGCAAGCCCTGAGGCCAGCTTTCTCAATAGTTTCGAGAAGCACTTCGCTCCTTATTCAACGCTCTCGATTTCGTCCGCTAGATGATACATGCATGCAAGCGAACATGCGCCAGCAAGTTACCGGTGTCAGAGCAATGCGATGACAAGAATGACCTGGTGTTTGATGAGGAGAGCCCGGATGGTGACGGGAAAATAAATTAAGGAAATGCAGACGACGAAGAAAGCTGAGGAGGATGAGCGGGAGGAGGGGGGGGGGGAGGGGGGGGGGAAGGGGGAAGGGGGGGGGGGGGGAGGGGGGGAGAGGAGGAAGAGGAGGAGAAGGAGGAGCAGGAGGAGGAGGAGGAGGAGGATGGGGGTGGGGCGGAGGAGGAAGGGAGGAGGAAATGAGAGGGAGGAGAAAAAAGGGGGACGATGATGAGGGGGGGAGGGGGGGGGGGGAGGGGGGGGGGGGGGGGGGG